TTAGTAGAGACGGGGTTTCTCCATGTTGGTCAGGCTGGTCTCGAACTCCTGACCTCAGGTGATCCACCTACCTTGGCCTCCCCAAGTGCTGAGATAACAGACGTGAGCCACCCCGCCCAGCCTGCCTAAATATGTACTTATAAATAAAAGCACACTGATGTATATTAAAATAGGCATACATATATATATGAAACAGACATACCGACATATATATAGTGTGTGCCTGATTAAGCATCAACTCCCTACACATGAAACCAATAATACTGCTTTTCTGTGGAGACAAGAACATAAGAGTAGAAAAAGGTCTGTTCATCGTATACTTTTTCAGTTTGAATTCTCAACCATGTGAATGTATTACTTATTGAAAATAATACATTGGCAAAGTAAAATAAAATCCCCTTTCCACAGATCCACCCTAGCAAGACAATTTTGTCTTTACCATTTCAAAGCCCTTCTCCCTTACCTTTAGGCTGCCTATTGACGGCAGCCAGGAGGTAGTGGCGGGCCTGGTCATAGTCCTGCAGATGGAAAAAGGCCACTCCGGCCCGATACAAGGCCTTGGCATTATCAGGCTGTCGTTCCAGGACTTTCTGACTATATTCTCTCACTCGTTCGTACTTCACGGGCTCCATCTGAAGGAGACAGGCTAATGGGCCAAATGAAAAGAGAGAAGAGGGAGGAGGGTTCGTTACACCAGGTTCCACTGGCCAGCTCAAGGCAGTACCAAACAGGGTGGTTGGTAACAACGACATTCAGTCAACAAATGCTAAAGTGTCTCCCATATGCCAGACACTCTTCTACACACTGGGGATGCAGCAGTGAATAAAAGCTTCACATATCAGCCCGGTGCAGGGGCTCATGACTGTAATCCCAGCACTTTGGGAGGCCAAGGCGGGCAGATCATCTGAGGTCAGGAGTTCAAGATCAGCCTGACCAACATGGAGAAACCCCATCTCTACCGAAAATAAAAATTAGCTAGGTGTGGTGGCGCATGCCTGTCCAGCTACTCGGGAGGGTGAGGCAGGACAATCGCTTGGACCTGGGAGACGGAGGTTTCGGGGAGCCGAGATTGTGCCATTGCACTCCAGCCAAGGGAACAAGAGTGAAACTTCATCTCAAAAAAAAAAAACAAAACTTCACATTATCTTGTAATCTACTTCAATATTTACTGATTTTCTGCTACACATTTAGTACTGAGTTAGACCTGGCTATAAAGCTGATAACAACATACTTTAAAATTTATTGAAAACTCTGGGCTGAGCATGGTGGCTCATGCCTGTAATCCTAGCACTTTGGGAGACTAAGGTAGGAGATTCGCTTGAGCCCAGGGGTTCAAGACCAGCCTGGGCAGCCTGGGCAACATAGTGAGACCTTCCCCTGCCCCCTTTTTTTTGGCAGGGTATTCACTGCAGTGTTATAACAAGTGTATCCCGGATAACAAATGTATTCTTTATTGTTATTTTTTTAAGACAGAGTCTCACTCATCAGCCAGGCTGGAGTGCAGTGGCGTGATCTGCAACCTCCACCTCCCAGGTTCAACCAAGTCTTCTGCCTCAGCCTCCCGAGTAGCTGGGATTACAGACATGTGCCAACATATCCAGCTAATTTTTGTGTTTTTAGTACAGATGGGGTTTCACCATGTTGGCCAGGCTGTTCTCGAACTCCTGACCTCAAGGGATCGGCCCACCTTGGCCTCCCAAAGTACTGGGATTACAGGCGTGAGCCACTATGCCCAGCTGAGACCCTATTTTTTTTTTTTTTTTTGAGACGGAGCCTCGCTCTGTCGCCCAGGCTGGAGTGCAATGGCACGATCTCAGCTCACTGCAACTCTGCCTCCCAGATTCAAGCAATTCTCCCACCTCAGCTTTCAAGTAGCTGGGATTACAGGCACACACCACCATGCCCGGCTAATTTTTGTATTTTTGTAGAGATGGGATTTCGCCATGTTGGCCAGGCTGGTCTTGAACTCCTGACCTCAGGTGATTCACTCGTCTCAGCCTCCCAAAGTGCTGGGATTATAGATGTGAGCCACCCTGCCCAGCCCCCCATTATTATTACTATTTTTTGAGATGGAGTGTCGCTCTGTCGCCCAGGCTGGAGTGCAGAAGCGTGATCTTGGCTCACTGTAACCTCTGCCTCCCGGGTTCAAGAGATTCTTCTGCTTCACCCTCCTGAGTAACTATGATTATAGGCGCTCACCACCATGCCTGGCTAATTTTCGTATTTTTAGTAGAGACGGGATTTCACCATGTTGGTCAGGCTGGTCTCCAACTCCTGACCTTGTGATCCGCCTGCCTCGGCCTCCCAAAGTGCTGGGATTACAGGCATGAGCCACCGTGCCTGGCCCCATTAACTTTTTATATGAAATTAGAATGCAGTGAGCCGAGATTGTACCACTGCACTCCAGCCTGGGCTACAGAGCGAGACTCCATCTTAAAAAGAAAAAAAAAAAAAATTAGATAAATTACAATTTTTTAAAACACAAATTTATCTTCATTGTATCTCTTCTACCCAAGGCTCTATGTTCTGTATCCCCCATTTCACCACAGTTCTTGTACTGCAGCTTTGTTAATAATGGTTGCCATTAATTGTGTGAGGAAATGGCAAGCACTGTGCTATGTGCTCGATATACACTGTCTTGTTTAATCTTCGCATCTACACAATTACATAGGTGTTACTATCTTCATTTAGTGGATGAAGAAATCAAGACTCAGAGAAGTAACTTGTCCGAGATCTTATAGCTTCTAGGTGGAATGAATATGAAATTTGAATGAAGCGTTCTCTAACTCCAAAATCATGATTCTCAGTGACAATCCAGTATATAACTTCACTATTCTCTTGGATGACTTAACGGGACCTTGAAATACAAACCTGCGTAGAAGCCAATTCAGGTCAATGTTCTGCCTTTTGATGATTAAGAAGGGAAACACATTCCCTATTTCACAACTGTGGGAATTAAACATAGTATTATGAAATCACGGTGCTGAGAAAGACCAAGAATCAGCACTGCTGAGCACATTAAAGGGCCTGTGCTGATGTCTGTATCCCTTCTACAACACCCCCACCAAGTGGTCATATGGTTTATACTTAGCTATTTCCCCAGAGGTCAACCAATCTATCACCCTTGCTCATTAATTCAACAACCAGTTCTTGTGCACTGACCATGTGCCAGGCACTGAGCTAGAAGCAGAGAATAAGAGGAGCAAGGCAGTCATCTTGATGATTAAAGAGGTTGAGGCCAGGTGCAGTGGCTCATGCCTGTAATCCCAGTACTTTGGGAGGCTGAGGCAGGTTGATCACTTGAGGTCAGGAGTTCGAAACCAGCCTGGCCAACATGGTGAAACCCCATCTCTACTAAAAATACAAAGAAATTAGCTGGGTTTGGTGGC